TGAAGCGATGGCCTGAAAATGTTGGTGATTCTTATGTTGCAACAGCAGGACTTCCTTCCAATCATTGGTCTACATCTGTAATAGATGAGCTCTATGGAAGTTCTCGCGGGTCATGTAGACCTGCAACTGACTCAAAAAGTGCGTCTGTGTCCTAGAAAATTTCAAAACATTTGGGAGTGGGGTAACTAGACACGACGTGATCAATGAAAGTTCAGTGGCATGGGGCTGAGGCCACTGTAGTCAGTATCACTTGCCTCAGAAGGAGACAGTAATGAGAGATGTGGTTCCCCGTGAAATATGATTAAGCACCTGTCTGTTGGGAGACAAGTGAGTGGTCTTGGGTAGGGTTAAAAATGCACTGTTGGACAAGATGCAGTGACTTCTGCCCGGGATCTGATTAAATCAATCCTGAACCTATTTGGGAATTGCCCAGAGTATTTGAGTGGCTAGGAGTAAATGTTCAATACATAGCAGGTAGTTGAGGTAGCAGACTCATCATTGATTATTGTTTTCCTTCTCACTTGAGCCTTCTACTTCCTAACTCTCATACTGATTACTCACTCACTCACTCACTCACTCACTCACTCACTCACTTACTCTCGGCTTTGTCCCTTGGGTAGTCTTAGTTGGATTTACTAAGCCATAGGAACATGTTCTCTCATTGATTTTCTCTCTGTACTCCCCCTCAACTGGAGCACTCGGTATGCTTTGTCATTGTTAGGCACCGGGGAGGATAACATTGAACACTCCCCCTAAAATGTGGCATCCGTTGAGAGATTCCTTGCTTTGTCAGTGTAAGGCGCCAGGAGGAGAAAACTGAAACTCCCTCTCAAAATGTGGAAGGTTTGATTGCTCATAGCTCGTCATACCCACCATGTGTGTGGAGCAATCTAAACATGTACCACACATGACGGTTTCCCTAAGCTCATCATTTGGAATTTCAGCATGTTTGAGGATCACACAATGTTGATGAGTTAGGGGAGGCTTCAGTAGTTGATTGTTGATTGTTGTAAGATGACCGTTGACGCGAGGTTGATTGAATTATCTACGATTTTCGGACCTCTACATCGGATCTTAGACCTTAGGTTTGACTTTGAAAGAATTTGATCAGATTTGCCTAAGTTTTGACCTGGATATCGGTGATTTACAAAGTTTTTCGGAAAACTGACGTTTTGACCCTCAAGGACTGCGAGTGAGGGCACGTGAGAAAGGGTTCTGGGGAATATCCCGAGAATTAATGTAGATCTTTTCGTTATCTTTCCAACAAATTTTTTTTTGCTAAAATCGGATCACCGAGTCAAAAGTTATAGCCAAAACAGTGCGGTGTCGCGGAAAATCTCTAATTTCGAGTTTTTGAGGAAATTCTTCGAGGTTGAGGTTCTCAATGTTGAATTTCGAGAGCAGGTGAAATTAAACAGAATTCTAATGCAAAAACTCGATATCCTAATCTCGAGATTTTAATTTTGAGTTTGCCTCGAAGAGTAATGGTGAAATCCACCTGCAAAACAGACCTCAGAATTACGAAATCTTAAGAATTTCAAAATATTTGGAACATCGAAAACTTTGGAGTTTCGAAAACCTCATAATATCAAAAACTTGATGTTTGAAAAACATCAGAACATCGAAAACTTCTAAAAACTTTGATAAGCAGGGAATCTTTCAGAAATCCTATTATGTAAAGCTTCGATGAACTGCGAAGGATGTCAAGATTCGAATTATGAGTTCCAAGAAACTGCAAATTTTGAAAGATTCAAAACATCGAGAAATTCCAAAAATTCTGAAATTTTTCAAAATGTCGAAATCCTAAACATCGAGTTCCTAAAACTCGAAATTCCAAAATTCGAAATTCCAAAACTCTCAATTTTAAAAACTCGAGGTTTAAAACTCGAGATCAGAACTCGAGGTTTAAAACTCGAGGTCAGAACTCGAGGTTTAAAACTCGAGGTCAGAACTCGAGGTTTAAACTCGAGGTCAGAACTCGAGGTTTAAAACTCGAGGTCAGAACTCGAGGTTTCAAACTCGAGGTCAGAACTCGAGGTTTAAACTCGAGTTAATGACTGCGAGTTTAAAACTCAAGTTCATGACCGCGAGTTTAAAACTCTCGATTTTAAAACTGTCGAGTTTAGGAATTCGAGACCCAAAATGTAGAGTTCCTGCAAAATGAAAACTTCGAATTTTGAGAATCTGAAAACTGTTCTGAAAAGCCCTAAAGGTCGAGATTCCTCCTGTATCTGTTTTAAGCCAAAATCGATTCTGCAGGCATGTAAAATCATAAACTCGCAATTCATGTAGAGTTCTACGAAAACTAAAAATTTGCAGAAATCGAAAAAGAGGATATGCTGCTGGATCGGTTTTGTAAGGCGATTCCAATAGTATAGCTTTTACAGATTTTCGTTCACAAACAAGATTACAGGAGCAAAACTCTATATTGAAGAAAAAGAGAAGAAAAGCATAGCAGTTCTTCACCTTGCACCGCAAATCATCCGGTATATTTTCCAACTCATTAGTACTGACCCGATTATTCTTAAGCAGAAAAAGCAATTTGGTGTTATCACAGTTTCTTCAGAAATTAACTGTTCACGCTACTATGTGAAAATTGCTAAACATAAGGGGAGCTCCATCCACATTCCCATGGGTCCACAAAATTCAGGGCTGCTTGTTTTTTTGGACATTCTTTCAAGCTTTGTGGGACTAACTACTTCAGTGCAGGAAGAATCAATGCATTCGGAGCATGAGTTTTTGACAGGCTCGGAGGAAATCACATCAATTTCCAAACTCATATTCAATTATGAAGTTCAAAGAGCCCATGCTGATAAACAACACTCCATTACCTATGAGAAACAACCCCTTATACCACTCTCACTAGCTTACTCGGATGCCTCAGACAACTATAACTCATCAGACGACTCATACTTTTCAGATGACTTTCTGGGACACGCAACGGAATGCGACCGTCGACCACCTATTTCAGAACAAGACGAAATAAGGGACTCCAAATTCAACAGAATGATTTGCCGAAAATCTCAGCTCATCACTTCAGAGAACTACCTTCCAACTAACAATTTGAACACCCAGCTCAAAATTTACAAGAAATCTCAGAAAAACAAAAGGCGCCATAGTATGAGGACTAGATCTCACACCAAACAATTCCCATGGGCCTAGTTATTTGCTTTGTTTTATTTCCATGTTCGTTCTATTGTATTTTTCTTATTCCGTATTTTTTTACTCTCTTTGTACCCTTCTTTAATTTCAATAAAATTCCTTCTTTTTGAAAAAAAACAGAGCAGTTCTTCGTTAGATCCAAAAAATCGCAGATACATTCAACCTGTTTCACGCCTTGGCTCTGATACCAATTGAGAATCCCAAAACTTAACAATCAAACATTCAAAGCAGGTATAAAGAAGAAGCAGATAGAAAGATATGGAGAAGATGAACCGAATCTGGTATACCATATGAAACCCCGTTGCTCTCCCTGGAGAAGGAGAGCAGGGGAAACTCTATTCTCTCTCTATCTCGCCTCTATTCTCTAAAGCCTCGAACGTTAGGGTTCCCGTAAGTTAGCCTCCTTTTATAGGAGAAGTTGGCTAACTTACGGGTTACAAGGAAGCTAACGGGTTGATACACATTTGTGGCCCGTATTACACGTTTAATTAATAACTACACAAATACAAAGATATTTAATTAGATTGGACACCATAAAATATTCCTAACACGGTCCCGTTTTAAAAGGGACAACATTAGGATAAAGACTAATTCCGAATCCTACTGGACCGTTATTATAAATTGGATCAGGATAAGCCAAATACCGGACGATCCTTGACCGTATCCACCACTAATTTTTAACAAAAATGTTGTTTGTACCCACTTTTATACCCACCATCAAGGGCGGAGCCAAGACACCGGGCCGGACTAGGCCGATACAAAGAAATTTTTGAAAAAAAAATTGCCAGAAATTTTTTACACTAAAAATTAAGACATTTTTTAAATTTGGGTTGGGCCAGGGCCAAGGTTGGCCCTCCCTGTCTCCGCCCCTGCTCACCATGTTTGTGCAAGACTTTTTTTTGTCTGTGCATCCCGTTCAAAGACAAAATAAGTTTGTGCAAATTTTGCACAGACAAAAAGAAGCTTTACGGACATGGTGAGCATAAGATTGGTATAAGGGTGGGTACAACAAGAATGATTGATTTTTTAATAAATAATAAGCTCATCTGATTTTTACTACCTCCGTCCCAAAAAACTTTGTCATTTTCAAAATTTTGACCGACTATATCTTTTTATTGAAAATTATTTATAATATAAATATTATATGAAAATGTTCTTTGTTAAAAGTTCTTTCATAAAAGTATAAAATTTATAATTTCCATAGTATTATACTAATCAAAATCAATGTTCAAATTTTTTGAAATGGCAAAGTTTTTTGGGACGGAGATAGTATATTTTAAATGATTTTGTATTAAATACGGAGTAATATAATTGGTCAAGAAAAATCAATTTTGACCGATCATTTTTGCGGTTTTTGGGATGGAAGGAGTATACCGATGGGCGTAGCTCAACTGGTAGCAAGGGAGTGCCACAAGAGTTAGGTCCCGAGTTCGAATCCCGGCAACTGCGAGTCTGCGATGAGGGATTACTATGCCAAAATGTATAGGGCCTCTGTAAGTAACGGGGACAGAGCCTCACTCTCACTCTCTATCTGTCAGATTGAGATTATAATCTAATTGGGCTTTCAGGGATGAGGTGTATCCTTTTTTTTGGGATGGAAGGAGTATTAGTACTTTGTACTCGGTATTAGGTATGTTCTTGTCCTCGAATTGACCCGGTGATCCATTGATTGTCCTAATATTTTAATTTTAATTGCGTTTATTACTACATATCGATTAGACGACTCTGTGCCCTCACTCTGCGCAGATTGAGATTATAATCTAATTGGGCTTTCAGGGATGAGGTGTATCCTTTTTTTTGGGATGGAAGGAGTATTAGTACTTTGTACTCGGTATTAGGTATGTTCTTGTCCTCGAATTGACCCGGTGATCCATTGATTGTCCTAATATTTTAATTTTAATTGCGTTTATTACTACACATCGATTAGACGACTCTGTGCCCTCACTCTGCGCTCCACGGACACCCAATCTGTAATCTGTGTCTTTGCTTTCCCTTTTCGGGGCGATCAAATACGCCTATATTTCCTCAAAGGAAACCCCATCCGCCCTAAACGTCAGGCAGCAGCAGCAGCGATCAACCATGACGCTTGGCTCAGCAGGATCGAGTGTCGTGGGTAAGTCAACTCGTTTCTCTGCGATGTCCTTGATCTGCTGATTTTATTTGTCTCTCATTTCGGGCTGTTTTCAGGGTCGTCATGTTAATGAAAAACTCGTAATTCATTTTGTGTGTGTGTGCGGATTTGTTGAATAGCTGTCGTGCTGTCGCTTATTGCATCCGATCACGGCTTTGTGGCCTAGTATGTGAATTCATTCACGTGAATACGTGATTACCGTCGCGGCTTCACTACATGTATTCGGATTTGTAATTTCAACCCCTTTTATAATTTGACATGCTTTTTGTCTGTTTCAGTCTTGTCGTTAAAATGAACTGTTTTACATTTTACTGCTTGATGGTTGAGTAAAGTTTGATTGCACTAATTTCAGAAGGATATATCGTTTACTGTACAACTTGTGCATCAAATTGCTCTATTTCAAGAATTATGGTGCTGTTGCTAGTTGAAAACTTCAGTTTGTATGTCTAGCGCTTTTAAGTTAATCAAGGAACATTAGGGGGACTTCACTTTGCCTGTTCTTTACCGAGTTAAGTCTTTTTTCAGATTACTGTTTCTGTTAGGTGAATGGAGTTGAAAGGAATGGTTACAGTTGTAACATTTGTGTATACACAATTTTTTTCATGCCCCCCCCCCCCCTCTTTATGGTTGTTGTTACTTATGTTTTGTTGAGGATTTTTTCGCTCGAATGCTGTCTATGAAGGTTATATTATCAAGTTTATTTGTAATTGCTGTCAGTTTAAAGTATTTGGGAAATTCATTTTTTATTTCATATGCTTGGGTTCTGTTTCTCACCAACAATTTAGTGGCATACATCATATATAGAGATGGAATTGCATGCATATGATAACTTATCACTTCAGTGTAATTAATAATTATGAAATTAAGAACCAAATCCAATCCGAATAATGCAATTCTCAGTGATCGTTGATCAAGTACATCCTGCATGTGTGAACTGTGAATTGTACACAAATGATCTCTAGCCTTTGTAGCCTTACCATACTGCGCAATTAAATGTTTTCGCTCAAGGATTTCTGATATTTTAGTAGTAGTTTCACTTGAACTAGATAGGAATAAAACTTATCAGGTCATATTCTTCTAATATCGTTTCATCATCAGAATAAGTTACGGGTAGTTATTTAAGTATGTCTACTGCTTTAATTAGTTCATTATCTTAAAAATTGTCAATTTCCTTCCAGTACCTCGCAATTTTAGATTGTTGGAGGAACTTGAGCGTGGAGAAAAAGGTATTGGAGATGGGACAGTGAGTTATGGTATGGATGATGGAGATGATATCTACATGCGTTCCTGGACAGGCACTATTATTGGTCCCCATAACGTGAGCATTATATTTCCATTTAATCAACTTCATTGTTTGCTCAACTTATTTTGAAGTAGTGGTGTTATCTGTGTATGCCGACCCCAATATCTTTTGGGACTAAGACTTGGATGGTGCGGTGTTATCTGTGTATAGCTGTTACTGATTTCTTCTAAACTATACCGGTTGCCATTCCTTTTAATGTATTAGTGTACCTTATCCTCGTGATCTCATTGACATGAAACCCAAATGAACTGAGTTTTTTTGTAGTCATCCTGGTAGGTAGATATGTGCAGTGATTAAAAATTAAAACTATATACCCGAATGGCCTAATATTTTATATTTAATGCTTTCTATAGGGTATGCATGGATCCCGGTTAATGCTAGAGAAAGGAAACAAAATTGCTAATGGCACTCTTTTTGTCATGCTTGGTTTTGCATTTGAATATGCATACGAAAATCAAACACGATTATCATTAAATATGCATGCATTTAAATTTCATAATCTTTTTAAAATACTCAGACCAGTAATAAAATGAGTATCAACAGATACCTAAATAAAACTTGTTGAGTTTTAACATACGTAGTATCTTTTATATTCCCCAATATTTGCTACTTTCTCCTAGTATTTTCCATGTTTTAGACGAACCCATATATACACATACGTATTTCTTTTAATAATGATTTATGAGGCATACATAACCATGTTACAAAAGTGAGAATACCAGAAGGCTTAATATATGGGCTTGAATTAGTGGAGTTTTACATGTATGGTTTTAATGGCAGTCTGTACATGAAGGACGTATATACCAGTTGAAATTGTTCTGTGACAAAGATTACCCAGAGAAGCCTCCCAGTGTTCGTTTCCATTCACGAATCAACATGACTTGCGTGAATCATGAAACAGGAGTGGTATGCCATGTGCACAAAAAAACATTTTTAAATGGATATTATCATAGTTTTATGATCCTAATGTGTGATGTGCATATTATTGTTGTATAGGTTGATGCAAAGAAGTTTAATCTTCTCATGAATTGGCAGAGAAACTATACCATGGAAGACATACTGACACAGCTGAAGAAGGAGATGGCAGCTCAGTATAACCGCAAACTGGTCCAGCCACCGGAGGGCACATATTTCTAGTATAGCCTACTAAGTCATTCGACTGTGTGTGTGGAACTGTAATTCTGTGTCATATGGGCAACATTGAAGTTTCTATGGGGAAGCAAATTCCCTGGTACTTTGCTTATCATGGTTACTTGACCCGCACACCCTCAACCCCCTTCTAGTTTCTCTCAACAAAATTTACAGGATGCTCATTGCTGTACTGTTTGGTTAATTGGAAATTTCTGTGTGCTGAACAAGATCTACATTGAATATGAGTCATTTTATTATCATTTCTTAGTTCTTCATGTCTTTCTTTCTCTCTTTCATGGGGCACTAGAGATCAAATGGCACAAATGAGTAAATGACTAGTCCCTCAGGGCATCTTGTTGTGACCGTCTTGTTTCTATTCAGTGTACCAAGTGATACCCTTGGACCCATTGTGGCAGAAATGTACAGGTAAAGCACTACGATTGGTCTAGTGATTAAACTCTCATGGTGTAACAAGCCCACTCATGTTCTTTCTCTGATAATGGCAAGGGTGTGCCCTTGGACCCATTGGGGCAGAAATGTACAGGTAACACATTCACTCATGTTCTCTGGTAACGAAAAGGGTATGCCCTAGCCATTCATTGGTATTTTAGGTAAATAGATCTGTGTGTGCTATTTCACGGTGGTGTTGTGTGTTTTTCACTGACTTGAAAGTCGCATAAAAGGACTGTTTTGTAGCTTTCCTTGCTCAGCTACTCACACACAAGGTGGCCTTTCAGTGGGGATGACCACAATAGCGTATTAAGTTGGCCATTTCATATCTTCTCCCACTAAACTAAAGTTTATGGTCAGAAAGCGTAAGAAATACTTGCAATTCTCCCTTATTAGCCTGTTTTTGGTCCAGTTCCAGACTGTCTGGTTCTGGATAAGGGAAAGGGTGAACTCATAGCCTTAAAAAGTTAAGCCTTTATTTTCTGAGCCGGTTCAATTCTTATTCCAAAGTCCAAACCGTGCTTCAGCCCTAATTTCTCTTCTCCATTTATTTCCTAAAGAAAGGAGGATTGCTGTATTGTTGTGATGGTTTGATACTTTGGTAGTTGATAGGATGGACAGGTGGTGGTGGTGGTTGAAATTGATATACTTCGTATATGATAAGGGTCGGGGCTTTGCAAGTCAAGATTGGTTTGATGCCACACGTCTTTGTCACCTTGAGAGACTTAGTATAGCAAATATTACGTACTCCGTATATTTATTGTTGGGCACTGTTTGCTCCCATAAACATTCTTCAATAAATTGCGAAGAAGATGTTGAAACTGTTGACGTTCTTGTTTGATGGGCTAATTGCCTCCAACTTAATTCATCACATTCTTGTTGTCATTCTTTTAACTTTGAAGAAAATGACATTTCTTCCACTGGGTCAATAAGAAAATGATATGGCTGATTCTTTTTATTATTCACTCAAAAAATAAGGATGACACTCCATCCCTGAGGGTCCCCTTGAACCGATCGGGCAGTTATGTGGGAGGTCGCAAATTGAACTTTGATCATACTCTGATGGAAAGAGAGTGACAATTCATCTCAAGTCATTGTTTGGAGTTGAACTCGGGATCTTTCCCTTGTGGCACTCCCTTTCCTACCGGGTGAGTTACGCCCTCGTGGTTTATTATCCGCTCAAAGAGTAGACTTAGGGTTGAACTCGGGCCGGGTGGCCCGACCCGGAACCGGCCCGGGACTGGTACTGTTCCGGCCCGGCCCGAACCGGTGGCCCGGTCAGTGACCGGTCCGGGTAGGCCCGACCCGGTGGGTTTCCGGTCCAGGCTCGGGTCACCCATAACAAGGCCCGGCCCGGCAGGGCCTGGGCCCGGTTCGGGCCAATTTTTTTTTTTTTGGTTTTTTTCATTTGTTTGGGCTCCACCGGGTTGGGCTTGATGTTTAGGAGGGGTTTGGGGGGTGGGGGGGTCAGGGATGGGTAGCTAAGCAAAAAAAAAAAAAAAATAACCAAACCCGAGGCCCGGCCTGGCCCGGCCCGGACCCGGACCGGACCCGGTGGCTACCCGGGCCGGTCCCGGGTCCAGCTATATAGAACCGCCGGCCCGACCGGGCCTAGGCCCGGCCCGAGCTACTGTAGACTTAAGCATGGGCGGATCTATGTAGGGCCTAGGGTGGGCTCTAGCCCAGCCCAACCCAATTTTTTTTGTTAGTATAGAAAGAGATTTAATTTTCAGCTCACCCAAAAATTAAAACTCAGCCCACCCCAAGTCTACAAGGAAGTGTTCTAAGAAGCTCTAAAAGCAAAAGGTTGCCCAAACTTTGTTTAAAGCCCATAGTCATGGAAACAAATGATCCCGATAACAAATGATCCTGATGCGTAATAATAGAGCCTGGTGTGATTGCACCAAGAAGTGATTTATATATAGGACACTCAGGAGGGTGAACCATCCTTGCAGTCGGTGTGGGATAAATTGAGGAGCAAAACTTTACATACGGAGTATTAAATAATTGTATGTAGTTGGTGTTTGGAGGCAGCTACAAATTATGCAATCCCATCTCACTCACTCACCCACACCATCAATGAAAGCACTTTATATTACAAGTTTACAATATTATTTTACAACATAAATTTTATGATTAATATTATATTATTATTATAATACTGTTATTATTATATGAATATTACTATTATTTGACCCAAGTCACCATGAGTAACTTTTATAAGCATTAAAATTTAAACATAATTATAATCATTAAAATAACTAAGTTACTCTTTATCAAGTATCCTTATTTGGTCATATACTATTTCTATTATTATTATTATTATTATTATTATTATTATTATTATTATTAAAATTATTATTATTATTATTAATAAAATTATAATAGTTTTATTAGTGCATTAGTTTTATTTAATAGTTATGTAATTCTATTTGATTATTAATTTAATTTATGCTCAAACTCGGCTTGAATAAAATAGATATATGAACTCTATTTTTTTAGTGTTCAAATATATTTAAAAAATTGCAATGAAAATGTTTAAATTTTAAGATAAATAAAATTTATTCGAACTCAAAATCTAGCTCGTGTTCGAGTTAAAAAAAAGCTTCTTAAGCTCAGATCACTAAATTAAATTCGAAATCACGCTCGAATTCGTGTAGTTCGAAAAAAAACTCAATTCGATTACGGCCCTAAGCAGCCTAAGCTAAATTTTTTGTTTGCAATATAAATTTTTTTCCTGTTAAGCCCACCCCACTCTTCATTCCTGGATCCGCCCCTGGACTTAAGGTTATTTCTTTGGTTCAAATCGATTAGTGCATCATTAAGTTACTAAAAGACTTCTTTATCATCTTCTTTTATATCTTGATACTACTTATTAACTATCTTCTACGCTATTGAAATGTCTTCTTCCTAGATGTGTAAAGTCTTTTTGCTCAGCTTCTCGAGATTCATCTAAACGTAAAGTCTTCCTTTTGAATTGTTCCAAGTATCAGTCTTAGCATTCCATTCTAAACTTTTAGGTTTACCTGCATAAATTTACATCCTTTGAGTTTTTCTTGCTTTATATTAAATTTATTATGGTTTTTAACACAATACCATAAGTTTTAAACATAATGTTGTTTAAAACTTATGTATTTGATCATACTTATATTAATTATAACATAATAGTTTTAAACATTACAAACAAAAAATGGAGTTACATATTCAGATCCTCATTGATGGAGTATATGGCCCGGGAACACCCGGCCCACAGACTCCTACTACTCCAGTGAAGGCCCAACAGGCCCAAATCACAGCGCCCAGAGTACCAAGCAGCCCGCAAAGCGCACCAAGGGTGCCTTCGGCCCCCCGGCCGAAGGCTCTAAACTCTCACAGAACGGGTTTTCCAAGCAAACTAAGAAACTGGGAGAAAAACGACAGAAAACAGTAGCCCTCGGCATCTGGAGCCCTCGGCACTCAGGGGTCCTCGGCACTAAGAGCCCTCGGCTAGTCCTCTGCAGCCGAGGGCACCTCTCCCGACATGATATCCGCACCACATGCGTACAGATCACCGTACCCTGTACAGATGTCCCATCCAACAGCCGCATTAAATGCGGCCACATGCGGCTGCCAGCGTCAACCAGTTGAGATGACCTCTCGGCCAATGAGCGTTTGACGCGTGTCCCTGTCCGGCATTTATTGCTACTATAAATAGCACCCCATTTCCCCATTTGTAACCACGCTGAAAACGCTCCACACTTATAATATACTTTCTCTCTCTACATTTACTTGCTCTGACTTCTCTCTTGTTACTCCCCGTAATAACCCCTCGGATAAGCTACCCCCCGGGTACACTATCCATCATTTGGTGCTCTCGTTGAGAGGTCGAACTATCAAGTAAGAAACCCTCCCCCTTCGCCAAACACCAGCCCTCTACCAAAATGGTGAGAACAACACGTGCCAACTCCAAAAACGTGGAAGACAAGAACCTGGCCCTCGGCGACGTCAACGCCCCCGAAGCCTCTCACAGGGCTCCCGAGGGCGGTGTCATCGCTGGGTTGGAACAGGCGGCTGTCGACCTTCGCCTTCAGATCCAACAGAATGCCCCCGATGCCCGCCTCGGCATCGAGGCCAAGAAGAAAAACCGGAGCGACGACCAAGTCAGCCCTCCGGTTCTCACCATCGACGTTCAATCGGCGCTCTCCGCCTTCATCCAGACGCTCACTCAGAACCCAGGTGCCTTCGGCATCCTGGCTCCGGCTCAACCCCAAGTTGGGGAGAACATCGTACTTCCCCCTCTGCCACACCCCTTCGGAAACCCCATCCCTCGGGTAAGGAATGAAGAAGGGGTAGTGGCCCAAGATACGGCCTCCCAGGAAGTTCAGTCTCGGGACCGCCACAATGACAACAGAGAAAGGCCCCACACTTCCGCCCTCAACCGGCTTGGAGGAGGGCAGGACCGCCGAGGGGTCCAAGACCGCCTCGGAGGGAAAGCACTCCAAAGGCCCCAGGAGAGCGGAGGGTCTGTCTCGAGGGCAGACGAGGAGCGTCCCCCTCGAGACAAAGGCAAGGCACCTCTTCATGTCGACGATGCTCGCCACCAAATCAATCAGGCCCACTCGGCCCGGGTTCGTTCGCAGGGGGCGGAGACCCTCCCGAAGGATCCCCGGGACGAAATTATTGCGGCCCTCCAACGCCGGCTTGATGAAATGGAGGCCAACAAAGCTCACGCCACCACCTCCACCCCTCATTCAGATCTCAAATACGAGGCCATGATGGCCAAAATGGAGGAATTACAGAAGAAGGTGGCCGAGGGCTCCGGGGAACCCGTCATCCAGCTCCGGA